GTTTTGCAAAATGTGAATTGCTTCATGCTGAGTTATTGAAATTTAAAAAGAAATGATGGAGTGTCATACGGAACTTTTGCAAAATGATATTCCTTACCGTATTTACATTTGCATCATTGTGAGTAATGGAAGCGGATGAAGTGACAGAGTTGCGTTACCTGCCCTCTGGATTATTGTGTATCATTACCCTATCGATAGTTTCGCAGGGTAAAGTTATGTGTTACATCTGTCTGGCAAATAAAAACATTGTATGCTTGTATGTAATAAATGTCTAACAATTTTCATTTATCAAGGCTTATGAACAATATCATGAACTTAATAATTAATATATGTAAGAAAAAGAAAGTATTTCAAGATCTTTCTCTTATATATTCGAAAAATTGTCAACACATTATTTGTGACTTTTTGTCCTATCAAATTTGTGACTTTATGTCCTGTGACTTTTTGTCCTGTGACTTTCTGTCCGATTTGTTCTTCGAGCTTCGAATTATCAGTTGTTTTTCGGTTCGTTGGAAGATATGGTCGATTGTTTTGCTGTGTTCAAGTTGTAAAAAGGGTTTTTGTACATAATTTTTACAACATATATATATAAAATGTAAAGAATAATATGATGTTCAGGAGTCTGCCAATTAGACTAATAAAAGTGCCTCAGGGAATGATACAGTCCATCGCTTACATGTACGAAGTAAGGTATCAGTATTTTGACACACAACTTCTTTCACCAGCTGATACAAGTTTCTCTTCAATAATTATCCAGTTCCATGGTTTACTCACAAACTTATGTACTTCAACCTAACATGAAGCTCTGTCCTCTATGTCATAAAACTACAAACAAGGACACCTGATTGGTTTAAATTATATTGTTGTTTGTATACTACTATCAAATTATATGTCCACAAAATATATTAAAGTGTTTGTATATAAACTTTGTGTCAGACTGTAGCATATAGTTATGGAAATTAAATTGAAAGACACTAAGATTATTTTATCTAATTGTGTAACACTATGCAGTGATGATATAATAACTTTAACGTTCAATATAATTTTATATACAAATGGACAGTAATTTTATAAGTATTGAAGTTTAACTCGCGGAATATATTATTGTTTTACAACGTGACTTTGTAAGTACATGTTTTGGCTCTAGGGAAAACCTATACTTTTTGCAGGTGGTCATCGTGTAGTGGTCAGTTAATTGACATTTATAGTTTAGTATTAAATGACCTTCAATGCTAAGCTATAAGAGCAAAGGTAATGACCACTGTTTATGACTTACTTATATACCGGTTTTGGCTCTCTAAAAGTAATTACCTTTCAAAGATAGAAACAAACAACATTCTTTCTAAATTTAAGTCACGTTTGTAGAAGTATAAAAAGAACAGTCTTATTCAGACAGTTCAGATTGTAATTTGATCAGTTAGTAGAAATTACACTAAAAACGTGTGTACCAGTTCAGCCATTGTTTGTCTTGTACCTGTGCCTTGATTTGTTTGTTGGTGTGCTGCCTAACTTGACTTTTCAAGAGTCTTACACCTGGGATTTGGTGCCGCGTGACCAGGATAACCCTTTATTTATAATCAGGTAAGCATTTTTCTGATCTTTATAAGTTACTTTCTCAACTATGGCTAAAACAAGATTTAGGACTAGCGTTTTTAAAACAACTTAGCTTTCCAGCTTCAAGGGTTATCGAATAAATTAGGTGCACAGGGGGTTAATCAAATACTACCAAAATTTTCTGGGGATGCTACCAAATTTAGAACTTGGATTAAACAAATTAAAAAGTACATTGTTTTGGCTGGGTTGGGTAGAAATGAAGCAAACATGGTGGCATATCAAGCTACTGACCCGCCAGTTAGTGATTTCATCCATAGGTGGTAAGAACAAAACGTCGGGGACGAAAATATCGGATGGAACGAATTTAAAGCTCAATTAGTTGTTAGATTTTCGGATGTTTCAGATCCACAGCATGCTTTCGAACTTTTAAGTAAGATTAAACAAAAGCCTGGTGAAAGTGTTCCCATCTTCGCGGAAAGACTTTATAACCTCGCGGAAGAAGTTTTTAAGGACCATAATGTAAATTTACCAATATTTCAGAAACAACTTGTAAACTTTTTCATAAATGGCCTTTCTTTGGACTACCTTAAAATGAAAATTATGAGGTCAAACCCAAATACTTTTCAAGGCGCTGTTGCGGTAGCAATGACCGAGCAAAATTTAAGGGAAAGGTTTGAATTGAGATGGGAAACCCCGGAAAGATCAAATACTAGACATTTCGAAGTTGCAAGTGAAGAAGCAATGGAAGTAGACCATTATAGGAATGCTAAACGATGTTTTAACTGTAATAAAATAGGACATAGATCTAAGGATTGTAGGACAAGACAACAAGTAAATGCTTTTGACCAAACTCTAAAATTTAATAAAGAAATAGAATGCTGGAAATGTGGAAAAAGAGGTACATTAAAAGATTTTGTAGAGCTAGGACTTTTGAGAAACAAGAAAATAGATTTCAGGGAAACTAAGAAACTCTCTTTGTTATGAAGCCGACATAGAGAGAAACAAAACCAGAAACAAATGAAATTTTTACTATCAATTTGGCAGGAAATCCAAACAGTTGTATATTAAATGTAAAAAATAGAAAACTTAGGGCACCTGTTGATTCTGGAGCACAATGTAGTTTATTACATTATAAAATTTATAAAACTTTAAACAACTTACCAAAATTATCTAAAAAGAAAGTTAATCTTCAATCCGTAAATGGAAACTCACTAAATTGTTTAGGAAGTATTGAAATTGATTTTTTCTATTAAAAATAAGAAAATGACACACTTGTTTTACGTTGTTTCTGACATGAACAGAAACGTTATTTTAGGACGTGACTGGTTAGTAAAAAATGGAGTAAGGCTTTACTATGATTTAGGAATGTTGAGAGTAGGAGATGTGTATGCTAATTTAGAGGAAGATATTCATATATCAAGTATTTTAAGACTTTCTAAAGAAACAGTATTTAAACCTCAAACTTTAAACATATGTTTTGTTAAGATAAAGAAAGACTTTCAACTTTCAAAGTCGAAATTATATGAAACTTATGCAGTTACAGAAGGTACTTTTTGTGAAGAGCCAGGTTTATTAATTAGAAATTCTGTTGTTAAAATTAATCATTTAATGTTTGGTCGAGCAACTTTTGTTGGCTGTAAAGTTTCTCATCGGCGTTTAAAGTACAGGCGGTAAAATGGATTGTGAAGTGGTACAGGTTCAATTGATTGGTCAAAGACTAACTGACAGTTATATTGTGTTGGAAGTGTCCAAGGATCCTGAACAAACGGTATAGTTATGTTCTCGATGTCAAACGGCTGTTGTTGAAATTGTTGTTAACTATTTCGTCTTCAGGTAAACTGTTTACCTAATAACAAGCGGTATCTAACTTTTGATGCTGGATCTCCTTGCTGTAATTAAGAGGTGTTTTTCCAGGCTTTGATAGTTTTCCTATAGCTTTAATCATACTCTCACAATTATATTGTCAATTCTTATTGTTGCGTGTAACCCCAACTCTCGCATTGACCTATGTGACAATAAAGGGGGAAACAAACTCACAATCGATTGTATAAAGGCAAAAAATCTATAATACAATAATTGTTCGAATTGTTTAATGCATACTAAAGTTAAGACATTACACTATTATGTAATATTTAAATTGACAACATTAATTAAAATGATACATACATGTTATTTTGAATTATTCCTTATACTAATAATAATTCTTATGATCTAAAACTTTCCTTAATATGAAATGAATACTTTTAGCTATTGAAAAGTATTTTAAAGATAAATGGTCTATTTTGAAAATATTAGTAGAGGTATGATAGATGTATCAAGATTGATCTATACAAAGGAGTGGTTCTAAAACAGTAACATAAGCCAAATGACCGCGCGATATAACATTAAAAGATGTCCAAATGATTGACATGTCAAGGGAGGAAAACTCGATTCATGCGAGGTATCAATAGGGACTTTTCCTGCTCCTTTTAACTATATGTGAAAACAACAGCAGAACAATTATAGACATCAGACAATTTTTAAACCACAAACCTACCATTAAAGGCAGTTCATTAACATTGAAACAGTGGAACTTCTTAACATCCATCACACAGTATATAAATAGATTGATTGATTGATTGTTGGTTGCTTAACGTCCAGTGGCAAATATTTCATGCATATTCAGGACGAGAACAAGTTCACAATAAATACAATAGGTAGGTTCTGTAATAGATTAAGGGATTATGGTCGGAGAAATTTAGACTGCCACGGGAAATGAGGGTATATTGGATAGGGACAGAAATTTAGCCTTGCAACAGGTCACCTACGGACCCCTCTAAGAGTTGTTGCAAGGGTTCTTAACGTGCAAAGAGCGTGGCACTCTCTTTACACGAGGCATCGGATTTAACGTCCCCATTCTGACCGGACGTGGCTGCAAATTTGTACATCCCGCACAGCCAAACGGACGCCCCACTTTAGCACGGGTTTTACTGCCGGTCGGAGGAAGACCAATGGTGACCATACTTCTATTCCCCAGTCACCCTTGGGGGTTATATAAATAGAGATTTGTGTCAGAAACGTTTAGGATGATATGGTTTAATGCATGTAGCAAAACTGTAAAAGTATAAATAATATTTTCTCTCAGATATTGTACATTGTAATTTATTTGTGAATATTTGTGAAAAAAATTAGATGTGCATATATTTTTGTTGTGGTGATTTTGTTTAAAGTTACATCTAGTTTTTACTAATAGTTCCCTTTACATGTTATAAAGTTAAATGAAATAAGTTATTATTTACAGGTATAACATTTTATAAAATACTTTTTATAGCATGTAAAGATAACTATATTTATAATTATATATAGATATCAAATAATGGAATTTATGCATTTTATTACACATATGTATTATATAAAATCAATACAACAACAAATATCTTTAGATATTTAAAAAAAAACCAACAACATAGACAGTTCATTGTTCAAATAACATACATATGGTTTCTCCATTTCCAAAAAATGAATTCCAAAATGTCCACTTCATCTACTTGGTACATGATTTTCACTGCAAGATCATCAATCTTTCTTTTCATGATCGCTTCAAGGTGACTGATGGCTGCTATTTCTGAATACCTAAAAAATACACACAAATTATAATTATTCAGTGAATTATTATTATTATTATTATTATTATTATCAAAAGTCTTTAACTGAATTCAAAATAATGATAAGTTATTTGGTATATGGTAAAAATATCATATAGTATTCTAATTACACATTTAAGAGATTTCAGTCTATTCACTTTCATTATCCATATTGTAATGATTAAGAACAATTATAACAATAATAAAAAAATATTAAATACCTTGTTTGAACATCATTTGATCCAGGCTCTTGTTTTATTGGTCTTGTTCCCTCCATAATTAAATCTGATTATACCTGAAAAAAACTCCAGTAATTACTATAATTAAAAATACAAAATTATCAACAGAGAAAAACAAACATACACACACACACAATTATAAAAGTATAAACAAATTAGTTATAAAAAAGGACAAAATTGTAAATTAAATAAATGTCATTGGTTAAACTAATATATAGATATCAATTAATGGAATTTATGCATTTTATTACACATATGTATTATATAAAATGAATACAACAACAAATATCTTTAGATATTTAAAAAAAAAAAAAACCAACAACATAGACAGTTCATTGTTCAAATTACATACATATGGTTTCTCCATTTCCAAAAATGAATTCCAAAATGTCATCTAGTTGAGTTCTTCCAACATTAAATCCCTTTTTCTTGATTTTAACTGTTTCTTGAACATAATGTCACTATTTAACTTATGTTTATTCTTTTCCACTTCATCTACTTGGTACATGATTTTCACTGCAAGATCATCAATCTTTCTTTTCATGATCTCTTCAAGGTGACTGATGGCTGCTATTTCTGAATACCTTAATAATACATACAAATTATAATTATTCAGTGAATTATTATTATTATTATTATTATTATCAAAAGTCTTTAACTGAATTCAAAATAATGATAAGTTATTTGGTATATGGTAAAAATATCATATAGTATTCTAATTACACATTTAAGAGATTTCAGTCTATTCACTTTCATTATCCATATTGTAATGATTAAGAACAATTATAACAATAATAAAAAAATATTAAATACCTTGTTTGAACATCATTTGATCCAGGCTCTTGTTTTATTGGTCTTGTTCCCTCCATAATTAAATCTGATTATACCTGAAAAAAACTCCAGTAATTACTATAATTAAAAATACAAAATTATCAACAGAGAAAAACAAACATACACACACACACAATTATAAAAGTATAAACAAATTAGTTATAAAAAAGGACAAAATTGTAAATTAAATAAATGTCATTGGTTAAACTAATATATAGATATCAATTAATGGAATTTATGCATTTTATTACACATATGTATTATATAAAATGAATACAACAACAAATATCTTTAGATATTTAAAAAAAAAAAACCAACAACATAGACAGTTCATTGTTAAAATTACATACATATGGTTTCTCCATTTCCAAAAATGAATTCCAAAATGTCATCTAGTTGAGTTCTTCCAACATTAAATCCCTTTTTCTTGATTTTAACTGTTTCTTGAACATAATGTCACTATTTAACTTATGTTTATTCTTTTCCACTTCATCTACTTGGTACATGATTTTCACTGCAAGATCATCAATCTTTCTTTTCATGATCTCTTCAAGGTGACTGATGGCTGCTATTTCTGAATACCTTAAAAATACATACAAATTATAATTATTCAGTGAATTATTATTATTATTATTATTATTATTATCAAAAGTCTTTAACTGAATTCAAAATAATGATAAGTTATTTGGTATATGGTAAAAATATCATATAGTATTCTAATTACACATTTAAGAGATTTCAGTCTATTCACTTTCATTATCCATATTGTAATGATTAAGAACAATTATAACAATAATAAAAAAATATTAAATACCTTGTTTGAACATCATTTGATCCAGGCTCTTGTTTTATTGGTCTTGTTCCCTCCATAATTAAATCTGATTATACCTGAAAAAACTCCAGTTATTACTATAATTAAAAATACAAAATTATCAACAGAGAAAAACAAACATACACACACACACACACACAATTATAAAAGTATAAACAAATTAGTTATAAAAAAGGACAAAATTGTAAATTAAATAAATGTCATTGGTTAAACTAATATATAGATATCAATTAATGGAATTTATGCATTTTATTACACATATGTATTATATAAAATGAATACAACAACAAATATCTTTAGATATTTAAAAAAAAAAACCAACAACATAGACAGTTCATTGTTAAAATTACATACATATGGTTTCTCCATTTCCAAAAATGAATTCCAAAATGTCATCTAGTTGAGTTCTTCCAACATTAAATCCCTTTTTCTTGATTTTAACTGTTTCCTGAACATAATGTCACTATTTAACTTATGTTTATTCTTTTCCACTTCATCTACTTGGTACATGATTTTCACTGCAAGATCATCAATCTTTCATTTCATGATCTCTTCAAGGTGACTGATGGCTGCTATTTCTGAATACCTTAAAAATACATACAAATTATAATTATTCAGTGAATTATTATTATTATTATTATTATTATCAAAAGTCTTTAACTGAATTCAAAATAATGATAAGTTATTTGGTATATGGTAAAAATATCATATAGTATTCTAATTACACATTTAAGAGATTTCAGTCTATTCACTTTCATTATCCATATTGTAATGATTAAGAACAATTATAACAATAATAAAAAAATATTAAATACCTTGTTTGAACATCATTTGATCCAGGCTCTTGTTTTATTGGTCTTGTTCCCTCCATAATTAAATCTGATTATACCTGAAAAAACTCCAGTAATTACTATAATTAAAAATACAAAATTATCAACAGAGAAAAACAAACATACACACACACACACACACACAATTATAAAAGTATAAACAAATTAGTTATAAAAAAGGACAAAATTGTAAATTAAATAAATGTCATTGGTTAAACTAATATATAGATATCAATTAATGGAATTTATGCATTTTATTACACATATGTATTATATAAAATGAATACAACAACAAATATCTTTAGATATTTAAAAAAAAAAAAAAACAACATAGACAGTTCATTGTTCAAATTACATACATATGGTTTCTCCATTTCCAAAAATGAATTCCAAAATGTCATCTAGTTGAGTTCTTCCAACATTAAATCCCTTTTTCTTGATTTTAACTGTTTCTTGAACATAATGTCACTATTTAACTTATGTTTATTCTTTTCCACTTCATCTACTTGGTACATAATTTTCACTGCAAGATCATCAATCTTTCTTTTCATGATCGCTTCAAGGTGACTGATGGCTGCTATTACTGAATACCTTAAAAATACATACAAATTATAATTATTCAGTGAATTATTATTATTATTATTATTATTATTATCAAAAGTCTTTAACTGAATTCAAAATAATGATAAGTTATTTGGTATATGGTAAAAATATCATATAGTATTCTAATTACACATTTAAGTGATTTCAGTCTATTCACTTTCATTATCCATATTGTAATGATTAAGAACAATTATAACAATAATAAAAAAATATTAAATACCTTGTTTGAACATCATTTGATCCAGGCTCTTGTTTTATTGGTCTTGTTCCCTCCATAATTAAATCTGATTATACCTGAAAAAAACTCCAGTAATTACTATAATTAAAAATACAAAATTATCAACAGAGAAAAACAAACACACACACACACAATTACAAAAGTATAAACAAATTAGTTATAAAAAAGGACAAAATTGTAAATTAAATAAATGTCATTGGTTAAACTAATATTATTCAAATTAAGAAACCATTCTCTAAAATGATAAGATAAACAGGGGCAAATGTTGCAAAGTTCAAATAATACAAGTATAACATGTACAAGGATGACATAAAGCTCAAGAATGTTCAAAATGAAAATGGAGGTACACAGTACTTACAAAAATAAATACATACTGTTACAATCATGCTTTTAAGTAGTGTAGTATCACTGAACACCCAAAGCCCCTTGAGTGTGGGTGTATAATTATAACACCACACCCCCTCCAAGTGGGACCATAAATATGAGGGGGTTATAAAATATGGGGGTCAAAGTTATTTCTTTTTAAATAGGAGAAGGGTTATAAATATTTTGAGGTGTAAATGTAAGCACTTTATAAATGTTCACTTTTAAACACTCGAATAATACACTGATACAATGCGAACCTCCTCACCCTGTTTTGAATAACCGTCACTCCTTATAGATTTACACTTCAAAGCATTAACTACATAAACAGATGTTCCAACACCTGTGCAAAACCCTCCTGTACACGCTTTTCAGAAACAGGTGTCTAAGCGTATGCACAACCCAATCCTTTAAAGGATCGCATTGTATTTTTTTCAAGAAGCACAAGTTAAAACCACAACAAAACAGATGTCCTAAAACCTGAGCAAACCACTCCTAAATGCGCTGTCAGAATTAAGTGTAAAAGCACACGTTAAAATCACAAAAACAGGTGTCTTTTAACACCTATGCAACCACTCCTTAAATATACTACAGGTGTTTAAACATCTGTGCAACCTACTACTTTTAAATGATTCAACACCTGAAATTGCCCCATCCTTATATGCTAAGTAGTATGAATAGTTGTGGGTTCTGTTTAAGAAACAAATTAAATCTTGAAGCGACTAAACTAAAATGTAAGTATGATTTTTAATGTGTCTAGTTGTTTACTTACGATATTTTCCAGCATGAGCAAATGACTTATTGAAGTTAACGTAATGCATTCTTTGTGCAATACATTTCTAGTACTGAATGTATTATTAAAAAACAACCAATACAAATACAAATACTTTATTGGCACAAGCTCAATTACATTGTGGTTAGTGTCTGTCTTCTGTTTCTAATTGCCTAATCGTCCCCTCCAACATCTCAACCGTTTTTAAATGGTTTTTCTCCATTTGAATTATAATACTTTTTACTTGTCTAACAGACAATTTAATGTTAGAGTAAATTCAACCATGTCCGATCTGTATGATCAAGAGATTGGTGTCCCTCAGAGGAGTATTTTATCTGCTGCATTATTTAGTTTAAAAATTAACAGCCTTGTTGAAGTTTTGAAAAGTAATATTGAAGGATCACTGTATGTTGATGATTTTTTAAAATGTTACAGAGGCAAAAATATGAATAACATTGAAAGACAATTACAATTATATCTTGGGACGAATTGAAAAATGGGCCTCGGAAAATGGTTTTAAATTTTCTACTTCAAAAACGTTTGGGATGCATTTTTGTAACAAAGGAAATTGCATCTTGATCCAGAACTCGCCTTGTACGAAAACCCAATTAAAATGGTTGATGAAACTAAATTTCTTGGGCTAGTTTTCGATAAAAAGTTAACCTTTCTACCCTATATCAAAATGTTAAAATCGAGATGTTTAAAAGCATTAGATATTTTAAAAGTTGTCGGCAGCACTGACTGGGGTGCTGATCGCAACATTTTACTTAATTTATACAGACCTATAGTTAGATCTAAACTAGATTATGGTTCAATAGTGTATGGCTCTGCAAGGAAGTCCTACATACAGATTCTCGATGCTGTGCATCACCAGTGTTTGCGTTTATGTCTTGGCGCCTTTAAAACCTCACCAGTTGAGAGTCTGTATGTAGAGGCTAATGAGCACTCACTCTCCAACAGACGTTTCAAGCTTAAACTTCAATACGCTGTCAAGTTAAAAGCATATCCTGAAAATCCTGCCTGCAACTGTGTTTTTAATCCACTTAATGAAGATATATTTGCAAAACATGAAAATAAAATTCCTCTATTAGGCATTCGTTTAAAACCACATTTAACCACTTTTGTTTTAAAATCTATTGCACTAGTTGGAACTTGCAAATGCCGTCCATGGGAACTTCCAAAACCGAAAATAATATTTGACCTCCGTAAATACAAAAAACCGGAAACCAGCCCTCTTGTAATTCAACAACATTTTGCTGAAAGTAAGACATATTAGTCAGATTTTTCAATTGTTTATACAGATGGATCGAAAGATGGTAACCGAGTTGCATCTACTGCTGTCTTTGGAGACAGAGCTGCTACTCTCCGTTTGTCATCTGCCGCATCCATATTTACTGCTGAGGCAAAGGCAATAATTTTAGCTTTGAAATTTATTGCTACTTCAGACAAATCCAAATTTATAATATGTTCCGATTCACTTTCATGCTTACAAGCTATACAACATACTAAAATTAAAAACCCGATAATTATCAAGATTTTATATGTAATGAGTAATGTAATGAGGAATTTAAAAATTCTTCATAAAGAAAAAAAAAATCTAGGGGTTCCGAGTCATATTGGAATCCATGGAAACACGGTTGTAGACGAAGATTGATTGGTTGATTGTTGGTTGCTTAACGTCCAGTGGCAAATATTTCATGCATATTCAGGACGAAAACAAATTAACAATAAATACAATAGGTAGGTCCTGTAATAGAGGCCTTCCGGGATGAAGGTCGGGAAAATTTGGACTGCCACGGAAAAATGAGGGAATATTGGATAAGGACAGACATTTAGCCTTGCAACAGGTCACCTACCGACCCCTCAAAGAGTTGTTGCAAGGGTTCTTAACGTGCAAAGAACGTGGCACTCTCTTTCCACGAGGCATCGGATTTAATGTCCCCATTCTGACCGGCCTTGACTGCGAACTTGTACATCCCGCACAGCCAAACGGACGCCTCACTTTAGCGAGGGTTTTACCGCCGGTCGGATGAAGACCAATGGTGACCATATTTCTATTCCCCAGTCACCCTTGGGGTTTGTAGACGAAGAAGCAAACAAAAAATGCCCTGGATGATCCATTATCTAACTGTGATATACCATATACCGATTTTAGATCTAATATGAGAGAATATGTTTTTAATATTTTGGAAAATGAATGGAGTAAAAAAGTTAATAATAAATTACATGAAATTTAACCTAAATTAGGTAAACCTTTTAATACTTTTATGTGCAGAAAAGATCAGTGTGTTATTTCTAGATGCCGTATTGGGCAAACTAGAATAACACATGAGTATCTTTTGAAAAATGAAGAAGAACCACAGTGTATACCTTGCAACATGTTTTAATTAATTGTATTGACTTTGCTGATTTTCGTAGGAAGCATTTCAATGTCAATAATATGTATGAATTATTTGATAGTGTTCCAATTACAAATATTGTTTCATTCTCAAAAGAAGTTGGAATATAGTATAAAATATAAAAATGTTGTATCAATTGAAAATGATTTTTATTATCTTATCTTAGTGTTAAATTTTATTTGTGAATTAACATTTTTGCTTTAGACTTGAGTTTTAGTATATTTAAGGACCTTTTGTCTGATTTTAAAAATATACTTTAAATTGTTAAATGTTTGAATTAGCTCTTGCTGCGATTTAGCCTTTTTTGCGCTAAGGCGGCGTAAAGCAAACACTAATCAATCAATCAATTCAATGAATATAAATGTTTTATTGTTATTTTGCAGTATTCTGGACAGTGTCAGGTATTTTTGTTATCTACATTTCACTGAGAGTAGTCAAGATAATTTACAGACGCAGACAACAGAAACAGTCATATTTACCAATTACTAAATCTCAACAGGATTCAACAACAACAACACAACTAACCCAGACACTAGATATTACTCCGTCCTTTGAACTTCCAACCATCCTTCCAATTAATAAATATCCACTCCCCAAAGACCCGCAGTTCCTAGAATGGATTCATTAAGATCCATTGAAGACATCACTCCTATTTTTACGATTCATGTCCATTCTTCATCATCAGAAACTGGAAGCTTCAACAAAGAATCATCCACAGAACCCTCGCCACCTCCAAGAGAAGATCTGACACCACCAATTGCAAGAAGAACCAGAAGCCACCAATTTAAGACTCCCTTAACAAAAGAGACAAACATGTAAAGGAAATTGTTAAATTGTGACGAAATTAGTTTTATGTTTTTGACATAATATTTGGAATGTTTCAGATTAACGTTTTATTCAAAAATACTAAATGTAAGATTTAAATTAAAACAAAGACCATAGTTTTGTGAAAAGCATTATATTTTGGGAAAACAAATTTAAGATTTCATTTATTTTTAATATCTTCTTTAATGAAAATGAGATTTAATTTTTCAAATGATGCGTAATATATATATAAAGAATTGATCTGTCTGCTTAAATGTTTAGTGAATCTGTAAAAGAAAAAAAGAAAATTTTCAAACCAATGTGAATAGATTAGACCAAAAATTGTGAAATGCTAGAAATGTGGATAAATAAATGATATTGATGTTTACAGTATTTG